CTGAAGACTTAATTGGTACCAATGAATAAATAGGGGAGAGCGACGTGACAAATAGCATCGTATACCAAATCTGTCAAAATTTTTCCTCAACATATAGAACATTATCGATTAGGGAAGATGAAGAACTAAGGAAGCCATAATTTCTAGATACACGTTATTCATATTATCATCTTACAATACAATAATATCGAATTTCCACATTTTTAATTCAATCAAGAGAACTGTAATCAGTTCTGATATCGTCTTTCGAGGACCAAATAAACCCCCCAAAGTCTGCACAGGTATATCTCAAACATAAATTCCTCATTTACAAGCCAGTCTTCAAGAAATGAGAAAGTTAACGAGAAAATGTCAGAAATAATATCGGTGATATCCATAACCTAGAAGCAAAGTATTTTGCCCAGAAATTTTTTCTCTTCCCTTCATTAATTATCCCCCACATTTCTAATGCATCTTAATCGAAGCATCCACTCTGGTACACCTTCTCAGCCAGATCCTGTAACGTAACACTTACTGACTACAGCGATAAAGCTCGATGCGAATTCTTCGCCAAATGAATTATTAAACCGTTCCAAGGAATCGTTGGCGCAACATGGCGTGCAGCTTCTTCCGGCTCTCCAGAAATGGCACTATTCGTTATCGAGCACCGACGAATGGAGCATCCGCAAAAGCGCATGGATTTTCCCTTATTTCGTGGAGGAACGTGCCGAGTGTTACCAGATTTCATCTGGTCGGATTCAAGTCGCGCTATCGCCGATCCATCTGTTCCGAGATCTGTCCCCGATTGTTCTCCGTCACGTAGCGTCCTGCCGTTTTCCAGTCAGCCTTCTTTCGGCCACCGAAGAACGGCACGTGGTACACACGCCTCGCGACAGCGTTACGATTTTGGCCCATAGACGAGAGACCTTAGGACCATCTTGTTCCTCCTTACGTGCACGGATTTCCGCCTGGCAGGGCACAGGTTGAGCGAGGACGAAGGACGATCCTTGGCAATATTCGGTACACGACTCGGTGTCTGTTGCGCACGTTGCGTTCGCCACCCAGAGCGAAACGATACGCGGCAATCTTGCCAGGTATTGTCCTCGCGAAGGGATTTGCATTTAAAACCTAAACAGTCCTGACGGGGTGCCTGTAGGCAGGACAATAGACGTTCGGCCCTCCTGGACGCCAGACGCGGTGTCCCCTGCTGGGTGGGTATTTTTTTTTACCACCGCCCCACAGAAGGGATATCTCTTAGCGTCCGAGCAGAAAAAGGGACTCTCCTTTTCGGTTAGCATGTTTTTCGAGTACGGCTTGACTGCAATCCTAATTTCTTGGTAGACACAATTAGCCCCTTTTAGGCCTCTTCGTGTCATACCGTAGGTCCTGGGGTAAACGGCTGCGTCAGAGACTCGTCTATCCTTTCTGTCTATCCTCGTCCGACTATCTCTCTATCTCTCTCCTTGTCTGTTTACCTGGACTACGGAAAATTGGAAAAACAAACAAGCCGGCTAGTCCACGACGACGCGACGAGGAGACGAGACGAGGTCTACGAGCTGAACACGAGGATCGTGGATGGGAAATTGAGTCGTTAGGAGACCTATAGGCCGAGCCAGCCTCGGACCTCGTAATTTTAGATACCTCAAGGGGCTATTCGGAAGCGAGCAACGGTTGATTGGTCTGTGACGAGACCACCCTGTTAGTTGTTGGAAAATAGCGTTAGCTTTCATTCCGCCTTAACGAAGAGAACCGCGATAATTCGCTGGAAAGCTTCGACGCCAGAGAGATGTGATTATCACCTTCGCTCGGTCGTGCAATGCGAAACCCGTTCGTAAGTCGCGTGTCGTTTATCCTCGAATAACTCGGGAATTTCTGCGCGTAATCTAAAGGATCGTTGAACCTTTTAGATCAAGCTAAATTGTGTATACGATATTTATACGCTTTATTTCACTCGAGTATGGGAATATTTAATACATCGTCATTAATAGATTAATTAATACATTATCATTAATCCTTTGCGGTCGAGTGTCGGCAAATAGCCGCCCAATTCTGTTTACAGCTACGCAGACGTATTATGAAGCAACTCGCGGATGTTTGTCTTTCCCAGTGATAAGATACGCGTGATTATAGCATACTAAACAAATAACCGGTGAGAAAGTCAGAAGAAACACGATACAACAAAATTAATGCATTTGCAATTTGTACATCGCTTGGTGGATCAATTAGTCGAAGATTTTCGTGACGCTAATCCCAAAAATCCTTCAACTTCTGAAACCGTCGAAAGCTGAACGGACTTTTATATATTATTCAGTGGATCAATTAGTCGAAGATTTTCGTGACGCTAATCCCAAAAATCCTTCAACTTCTGAAACCGTCGAAAGCTGAACGGACTTTTATATATTATTCCGTGAGATGACACAGGAAGAAGCAAAGACTGCGTGGTATGTTCCAATCGGAAAATCAAAGGTGGAAGAAGAGAAACGATGTACTTGCTATGTATTATCGCAATCCTGTGACACGATTGCAAGTGAAATTAACGGAAGAAGGCAAGCAAAGGACCTAGAATCCAGCCGAGGAATCTCTATAGAAAAACGAAAGGCATCCGTCACCAGAAATGGCCAAACGCCAGGGCAGGCCAGGACAATTATAACCCAAGTCGAGAGTAAACAATCGTGGAGACTAAGTGGCCGGAAAAATGGTTCTCCGTGAGTCACGAAGCGTTAGGTGGTGTGGTTGAATGGGCTAGGGCATTCGTGGCGACGCCATTTTCGCTCGGTTGGCAGAAAATTGCTTGAATAAACAGCCGGAGTAAGACAAGACATCGGACTATCCTGACAGTCCAGGTGATCGTCGTTCGGATAAACGCGAGACGGCTGCACAAACAGCTTCGTTCTCGGTTTAACGCAGCGATACGCTTGCCTGGAATCGTCGATCGAGGGCAGGTAAAATTCTGGGCCAGATTTAAAGAGGCTTTGCCCGTTTAGCCTACAATGGCTTGTTGCGGAAGTGCTAGCTCGATTGTATTCCATGCTCGATGTCCTCGAAAGTGGACTCTATCCGCCTTTCAAGCATCCGGTAGAATAATATTGCGAAAACGGCCCTGCTCCGGGAGCCACGTGGATCAAGAGAGCTTCTTATAATCCAGTCTTTCCACTGGGACACGCCTGTTCATCGAAAATATTTTTCCTACAGGAAAAAAGCAAGATCTCTTGTGTCGCGAGTTGTTTTTGGGTACTTGCATTGTGACGAATCTTAGGTGGGCTTCTTCCTTTAGCCGAGGAAACTCAGTTACATTAGGCTTATTATATCACCGACAATGGTACCTTCTTCGGTAGCAACAGAGAAAAATAATCCTACATATTTTTAAAGACAGGTATATCTGATAAAATTTGTCTTCGGTGATCGTCTCGAGCTTCTTTGACAAATTCCTGAATAGAAAGAATCTGTAGAAAATGAATTTTGACTCGAGGACACTTCGTTTTACTTCCAACAGACATGTCCACCTCACTCCTAACGAAATAGGCTCTGCTTCAAATTTTCTTAATTATACTGTAAAATAGACTTTGCTCCTAATCGAATGGTCAAGAGATAAGATTTATCACGAGCTCCCCTTCCGAAATTCACGAATACGTTCAGCTAATAACCTTGGTCCCAAACGACTCGGAATCGCTCAAACTATAACAAATTGCTTCCAAGAAGAGAATCAGCTCGAAGGAAGGATACTCGCTGCCGCGTCAAATAATGGTTCACGCCAATTAAAAGAACATTAGACCGTGATCCGTGAATTCTGATGTTCCCTGGGGAACCGTAAAAGAAATCGAAGCTAGGAAAGGGCTGGAGTCGTAACTAGTCCGTCATTAAAGCGACCACATGCCGTGGGAGTCGAAACTCCTTTATGCGAACTTTGGAAAACCATGGGTGTTTAAGCGACTCGTAAACAAACACGGGAACCAGATGATCACGCGAGGATGGTCCTCGAGGAATCCGGTGCAGATGTCGGGAGACAGGTTGATGTTGCGCTATAGAGATCAGCCCTATTCTCGACGTCTTCCGTATGTCGGAGGATCAAGATTGGACTCTAAAGATTTTCTAAAATATTTGTTAGTTTCTTTTTCCAGCTTTTTTATAATGAATTTGATGAAGTTGGATGTTAACATATCGGTGGCAGAATTATGCTATTTCTCCTTATTTTATCGTACAGGATATTTTTCAATATATATATCATATTGTTCATTGTATGTACATATATCTCATGGGTTATCACTGTGTGATTATTCGGTTTGTATCATAGTGTGACAGTGTTCTTTGGGACTGCTTTGAGAGTGATAGTAAGTGACAGAATTTAAATTTCAAAAAAAGAATTCTCCATATAAATAGAATAATATAATGAACAGCAAAATGTATTTTTTCAGTTGATTTAATTTTAAAATTATCGAATTCTACAAATTTTGCAATTTCGAGGGATCAATTGATATTTTAATATATCATTGTTCTTTATGTTACATTTATACGAACTTTTGAAAACTCCTGGTCGAGTGTACAAAATAGGGGTTACGTATTATATATAGATTATCGTACGAACTTTTTAATTCCATACTCGAGTTTTATAGCGAGAAACTTGGAGTTCGAAAGACGTATCGATTCCGCTCTAATGTCTATAATATTTACGCCCGATCTATGATATATTGCGAAAGTGAGAGAACGGATCGAGTTTTATTCACCATCCGAGTGTAAAATGCTAAGCGAGGCGGAGCAAACTTCTGATAATATTCTTCGTCGAACGTTAAGGGTGCATACTAAATTTCTTTAAATCTCTAACTCTATCGTAACTTTCGCGTTCTCGATACACGTAGAGAATACAATTTTCACACCTCATTAAATGTTCACCTCGAATTCTTATATACAGAAAACAAAGCCGAGTAAATGGTTGAATATAGAACATAGAGAGTTCAAAAAGGTATAAAAATATAGGAAAAAAAGAAGAGGCACGTAAACGTATAAAATCTTTCAAATTTACTTACACGACGTCTCGTCCGTGTCTGTATTAGTGGAGCGCATCAGTGTGCATCGTATGTTAAAATCGAGTGTACGTACCTGGAATAAAAGAAATTCATTCGTTAGGAGGATCACTTCCATCGTGGCATATATTACCATGTTTTTAATTTTAACAGCGCACAATATAAACAACGACTAACGTATGTGTAAAACTTTGAATTACATACATAATTCGTGAGTCAGTTGTTCGACAAACATAATACAGTACAAAAATTGGGAAAAATGTTTTTCAACGTACACGAGTCCATACAACACATCGTTAGTATTTCAGTTCAGTTATAACAGAGGAACCAAATTTTTAATTAACACTAGGTTCGCGGGAACGCGTCATTTTGACGTATTCCAAATTTCACGAGGAAAATTGCAGAAACCGTTTACACTTAAACAAAAATAAGCCCTGCGAGTATTACAAATTTTATATAAATATACAGGGTGGATTGAAATCGTAGTACAACCTAGCAAGCTGTAATTCTACGTGGAAACATAAATCGTGGAAAAGAAGAATAAAATTTTTTCATTCGAAGCTTCGTAGCCGAGAAAATCGACTTTGAATATTCAGCGAGTACGCGTGCACATAACTATGTTAGGTGTATGGACCCGTTGAATGTTCAAAGTCGATTTTCTCGACAATGAAGTTTCAAGCGAAAAAATTTTATTCTTCACCCTTTGCTCGGTTGTACTACGAATTCCAGTCCACCCTGTATATCTCATAGTTTCCTTTATAAGTTAATAGTGCATATTTCAGTTGCTTTTTAGGCTGTTCCTTGAAAGAAAGTGTTTGATTTCGTTTACATTCGAATAGGTACACAAGAAACGTTCGTAAACCTAGAGCTAAGGAGGATATCTTTACTGCACTTTGAATTCCAATTCTCTTTCTTAAGAAACTTTTCTTCGTTGATAATAGAGAACGTTAAGAAATATTTTCTCCATGCATCTTAAATTTTAATCCCACACGCGCCGGACTGAAAATTTCAAATCCAAACTAAACCGAATACTTGACGACTACCCAACATCTCCAGTTTCCTCGTTATCGATAGACCCGAGTCACGAGTATGTCCGCCAAATCCCCACTCAGTAGCACGAAAAAATGGCTGTTAAGCTTAAGTGTATTTAAGAGGCAATGCGTGTTCGGGAGAGAAACTTTAAACTTTCCTCTCTGGAATCGATGACTAGGTCTAACCCTCCGCTGTCACCATCAATCTTTAGGGTTGGCGATTTTGCCGCGGCGTAGGGTGACAGAGGTTCCCGTTGCCACGGTTCCACCCCCATGGCGCTGCTCTAGGTGGCCCCCGAAACTCGCAAGGTGTCCGATGAACGAGCCTCTGACTCATAAGCCGCGAGTCAACCCGACACGCCTCAGATTAAAACGCAACCCCTTGGCGATGTTAATTCGTGTCTGCTTCACCCACCCCATCCACCATCCCTGATCCAGGTTCCACCCTCCTCTGCGTGTTGCACTTTGCGAATAACCACAACGACGCGACAAAAAATCCAGACGAACGCGCGTTCTCCCGCGGGACAGCCGGGACTAGCGCGTGAAAAAGGGGTGGCTTTTTCATTTTGCGGTAAGAGGTTCCTTCTCTACCGCGGCGGAATGAAAGCGGCGCAAGCGGCGCGTTAAATATTCCGATGGCCCTGGGAGGAAGGCACTGGCGACGCTTTAAGGAAATATGCATCGCAAAATGAATCTTCCAGCCGAGATTTTGACCCTGATTTTGATTTCTCCTTTATCTACAGGTAAGACAACTCTTTAGTATACGGGGGATAAAAATAGCGTGAAATGAAAGAATACAAAATTCGAGGATGCAAATTAGAATCAGTGATAGGGAAAATCATAGGACGGTAAGCAAGACGAAGAGTATAGCATCGAGTGGTAATCCTCAGTCGCCATTTAATTAAATTTTGAAGATATTAATCCATCTATCAAATTTAAGATAACTCAACAGCGTGCGAGGTATTGGAATCGAATAATTCCACCTATTAATTATTACACGATTTCTTATTCACGATTCCAAGAAATATCTTCAGCTTTATAACAAGAAATCTTTGACTTTCTATTCTTCCCTAGTCAAAAGATCGTCGAGTGCAAAGGGTGTCTTTGGAAATAATCCGAAAAACAGTCTACTGATTTTGGGAAAGAATGTTACTATGATCTCTCCATTGAGATTGTTTAGGTTATCAGAAGTAGGTTCATGGAAGTATACGGTGCTTTGACCGAGTGTTAAGGGCATTTAGGCTTTTGAGAATTTTACGTCACTCATTTGTACGGTAAAATGTTGCCAAGGGAAAAAGAATCACAGTGTGACAGCTGACAGTTCAGGGTTATTAAAAATAGAGCGTTACGCTAAAGAACAACGCGTCTTCATTGTTGAGCAATATTTACAATTCTTAATTAAAAGCCTGTGTTTTCTATCAAAATCACTTGCTGCGAGAATTTCGAGATACCCTATATATACCACATACTACAAAAAAGCTCGTCTATTTTACAGCAGATGAATTCAGGTTGCTATTTTCCAGCAACGAAAAAATCCTCCTACCAGGGGAGTTGAAATACGGCTCACTTAGAATCCTCTAATCGCCGACTTCACGGAGACCAATCAGTTCTCCATCCCTTCTTCCGACCCCGGTTATCACTTCAGCTGAACAGCGCTACTTAACGTAGAAGGAAAACACTCGAGCGGGAAAAGGTCAGAGCGCGATTATTCGCGAACGAGGCATCAGTGTTCACTCGAGCCGAGGTCAGAGGCGGTGAAGAGCGTGTACGCTTCAACTACAGCAGCCCCCGTGGCTCCTTTGTCTTTCGGCCGGTTTTCGGCCCGGCTTGAACGCTCGCGCGGGGGCGGGCGTAAGCGATCCTCAAGTTCGCCGATCCGACGACGAGCACAATGCACCTGCACGCGCAACGAGCTTCGAAAGCATCTCGAGGGCCGATGTAGCAGGTGACCGCGAGCACGTACATAACTTATCCCTCTTAAAGTGGTTCCCGTGGCAGCCCAGCACCAGGAATAAAGGATACCGCCCGCGGTTGTAGCGGCGAAGCGCACGTAAATCAAAATTACTTCCCCGGTTAATTGGCTTTCCGGAGAACACGCGCGACCGCCATCTTCGTCTTGGTCCACGCGTTCACCGATTTGCTAACTGTGACTGGATGTACGTGGTCATTTAGGGGTGGACACCTTTTCCGGGGGTGTCCGCGCTTTGCTTCGATGAAATATGATACCGAAATTAGCGAGTGGACTTCTCTGAATCAGATTTCGAATTTTCAGTTCTGTCCAAGGTACGAGTAATAACTGAAATTTATTTTTCCCACAGAGGTAATAGCGTTGCACCGTTTGCACGTTACTTTAGTTATTTAAAATCGAAAAATATCGAGTAGTTACTTTCAACAACTGCTAAAATCTCGTGTCAAATATTTTCCGTTCCGCTATATCATCGTGTTTTATTTTCATCTTCTACCAGATGAGTAGGAGCGAAAAATAAGTACAAATATGGAGAATGGTTTGGAGGATAGATAAAGATACGATAAAAATTCTCCACGAATTTGAATTACACGAAACCACGTTCTCTTCAGCACTCGAGTCTTCGCCCTGACAACTGCAGCTCTCGAGCCGATCCCATCCCTCCGAAGAATCCGCTTTAACGACCGCTCGCAGCGTTCCATAAACAAATGAAAATGACGAATCCCTCGCGAGGGAAAAATATTCGCTTCCCACAAGGTTGCAAGCGTTTCGATAAGGAATCATTTCCATAGCGGAAATAACGGTCGTTGCAGTTGGACACCTCGGGGTTTGCTTTCCTCGGTTGAGTCACGAGCCGCATTATTCAGCAACGAGCTCGCGATGGTCCGTGGAGTATTTAGAGAAGTTCGCCGCTATTATTTTCTCATGGTCGTGCATCGGATACGTCTTCGGGAAGGATCGACCCTCCCACGAATGACTCGACCCTCCGGCGAAGGTCATTACCAGCAGGTAGAATGACGGGTACCTCGGCGAATTATCATGATCGCCGCGAAGCCCTGCCTCGAGATCGCTAATCGATTCGCGTAACAGTCTAATCCGAACCGCAATGACTCATGCCACGGCCCGATAATTACAGGCCGAAAAGGGATCGTTAGTTCACGGGAAATTGCGTGGATAGAGGAGCACAGGCCGACATTCCGGCGAAATTGCCTCGGGTTTCGCATGACTTTTCCCACTCGCCTCGAACATATGATACTTTCGTCCGAGCTGTCAGGTCTACACGAGATTCGCGTTTATTCCGCAGGTTTCGAGAGACGAGAAAACGAGGCTGACGTTCACGACGTGTAATTATATTTACATTCACCGGTATGATTCAGGGGTGTCTGTGAAGAATGAAGAGGTTGTGTTTCAGAGAGGAACGCAGAGCGGGCACAATGGCGACGAATCGTCACCCTTTTCAAACTTGCACTTTAAAATACAAAAGAATGACAAGGGAAGGTTCAGTCTTCTTACGAATTCACGTTCCTTTAGGTTTCAAATAAATAGACAATTTTATCTGCGCCCGATAGCCCTTTCGTCCCAGACACGTAATTCCCTCCTCTAAACTAGCCACTTTCAACCCTCCTCGTTTCATCGTCTAGACTAAAAGCATACGTTATATATTTTGCTTAGGTGACGATAAAGAGAGAAGATTTATTTAAAAATCCGGAAATATTCTCACAACGTGTCCACAAATAGAAAAGGTACTAAATATTAATCAATTAAATATAATTATAATCAATGATCCCCGTGGTCGCCTAAATCTTTTTACCAATAATGTTGCAGTGGAACACCCCTGATCGATCCTGCATTGAAACAACAACTTCATATCAACCTCCATCACCTGCACGCGCTCACAACGCCACCCTAGAGCTACCCTTTCACCCCGGTATATCCTGCAACACGAACATCGTTTCTTCACTGTCAAAATATCTGGCTAAGACAGAGATCCTTCGCGTGGAGCTTTTAAAGTCTGCTTATAACAGCACGGCAGGATTAATGGAAATGCACGTCCGGCCCGAGGAGACGAT